CCAGCGTCTACACAGTCAATAATCTGCCAGGGAGAGCAGGAGAGCAACAGTCTCCAAAAGGGACCATACATTTCAAAGGATGATAAACCAGCCTATAGGTATGAGAATACTACCCCTACTTCTAGCCACTTTTAGTATTACCCTTCTTAAAATGTATAATTTAGTTCATATTTTATGGTGTCCAAGATATTTTAGTATGGTAAAATACAGATATATTTGCATAAACACAAATGCACGCACATATGTACATGTGCATATGCGTGCATGGACAGTTGGAGAGGGGACTGTGTGCAGATGGGACGTACAGTAGAAAAGTTCCGAGACCCTATCACAAAAAGCCTTTGTTCTTTAGACTAAGTGCCTGGAACAATTGCATTTCCCCTGTATGAAGGATAAAAATTGTAACAAGTCACTTATTAGAAACTTCAACACAAAGGACCACATCCCAGAGCTATTCCTGAACCACCCAAATCCCACTGTTTCACAAGGATGCAAATGTTATCAAAAACCCCCACTGGAACACAGTGAAAGCCACTGTCATGCTGACAACACAGGATGCCAGGCCCTTAGCATCAGTTGAAAGTTCTAACACCCCACACAATGGCTCACTCTGCATCTATAATTTTTTATTCACACAGTAGTTCTTACTTTCCACAGTAACAATCTGGCTCTTTGCTCAGTTTTTAAAGAGTCCTGCAGACCATCTAACTAGCTGACTAGGACTTCTCAGTAATCAGCAAATATGCAACAGTGAAAAATATGGAGTGATCTAGTTGGCAGAACTCAAGACAGTGCTTATAGCTAAAGGGTATTTATTTGTGAAATAGCAAGAGAAGTGTATCAACTAATTAAAACAACAGGAAAATGGAAAAAGATTGTGGCTCTCATCCCCACTGTCTGAAAACAATTCAAAGCAAGACAATATCAGAGTGAAAAATGAGCTTATTAAGAAAGTTCAACAACATTCTAGTTCCTCCTAATCTTTTTGGTGCCCACAGCCTTCAAAGTTGGAGGCTCCCCTAGTTTCTCAGTCACCCAGTCCTTACTGAACACGCACTTCCTAATCACCAACTACTATATGCAAAACAGGGTCTTACCAGTGACACAATGAAAACAACTCATTTCTTACTCAGAATAAAGTGGTGGGCAGAACCTGCAAAGCGGGTTAGACGTGTTCTTTCACAATATCCAAGTGGAAGGGAATAGAGAGATGCATCACCACTTAACTGTAATTAAAAAAAAAACAAAAAAAACAAAACTGTAACTAAAGTGAGCCTCCTTATAATCCCAGAAGGAAGCCCTGTGGCTAAGGGACACAGTCACAGTGGGCAGCCAGTCTAACAATTTTATCAGCAATGCAGGTAAGGCAGTCTGATCCAACCTGTAGACAGCATTTCTTAGCGAGGACAGGCAAAGGTGCTAAGTAAAAATCAGACTCCACAAAGCACCATGGAAAGAACCCGATAAAACAGTAAAACAAAGCACAATAAACATTCACAGAACCTCCTGTTAAGTCTCATAGTGTGCACATTGCTCCACCTTTTGGGGGCAACCATATAGCAATGTTAAATGCTGAAAATTTTGTTTTTTAATGTTAAAGGTGGAAACAAAAAGAACAAAAACATGAAGGAATAACCTTTAAGGGCCTTTCTGGACCAGAGATGTTATGAAAACCACACTCAACTTACTGCATATCTTTTTTGCCACCACTCAGTTTGCTATTCAGGGTTGCACAGGGAAAATACATCAGAGAAAGGTGTTACACAAATATGAGATCTCTCAGGAAATAGGACCCTTACAGCAAGTTAGATGTAGCCCCCTTGACTACTGCTGCTCTTTGGAACAAAGTTTATGAATCAGTATCAGAAAGGATCAAAATAATTTAGCCCTGGAGTTGTGAGGCATTTAAATTCCTGTCTGTCAGTTCTCCTTTAAAAGGAGTCATAGCTATATGCAACTGGAACAGAAAAACAATTTCTGAGTCATTGATTTCAAGGTAAACCAAGCAGCTGTAACCCTCTGGAGGGCTCACACACAAACTTACAGTAAGCCATGGCCAGGAAAGACACAATCACAGACCATATAAGCTATCCCAGACAGACAGACATCTTCATTACTACATTTATTTTAAACAACAAAAAATACTAAAATTCTGTGGGCACTGAAAAGAATCATGGGAATATTTTATCTAAACTCTTCATTTGTAACTGGAGGAAGAGTGAGGATGCTGCGGCTCCTGCCCCACCCACCCTCCATGCTCTTTCTACTCTGAAATGAAAACGAGTCCATCATTAGAAGCAAATATCTAGAACATGATTCTCTGTACTCTTTAGGCTACTTTATATTTCATTCAAGTTCAAAACAGAAAGGCAAAACTTAGCTTTTCAGTTAACAAGAATGGTCTAAATTTTCTTCAAATTCAGCATGTCTTTGAAAAGATTTGTACTTCTAAACCACCACTGCAAGCAGATTTTATGTTCAAAGCCTTAATATTTCCTCAATCTCCAAATATGTTTTGAGATTTACCACAGTCAGCTGGAGGGTAAGGGGCTGTGTTCAGGTGAACACACAGTTCTTTGCAGAGTAATCAGTAAACACAACTCATTCTAAACTAGTTTTGATACCCAAACCCAGCACTTTTAAACCAACTGCCCTTTCAGAGAAGCTTACTAATATTTACTCACTTTAGAAATAGGGTCTCAAAATGAATAGCCTATTTCCACTTTTGCCTCAGGTAAAAAGATCTCCAAGGGGGACTAGTGTTGATCAAGCTCGGGTATCAGGAATCCTTCAAAATACTGTTCCAGTCTCAAGGAAGGAAAACGAGCCTTCCAAACCCATATTACACAGCTTGAACAACAACTAACCATCATAGGTGCCAAATCACGATGATCTGATAATTTTCCTATTCAACTAGAAGTTGCATCTCTGAAAATTAAAACTCTTAAACTTAGTGTGGTGACACATGCCTGTAATCTCAGTACTCTTGGAAGGTGAGGCGTAAGGATCACAAGTTCAAGCCCTGGCTGGACAACTTAGTGATTTAGTGAGACCCTGTCTGAAAATAAAATATAAAAGGGCTGGAGATGACACTTAGTGTGAAGGTCCTGGGTTCAATCCCCAGTACTGAAAAAGAAAGGGAAGGAAAGAAAGCTGGTTGGCTGCCTAACATTTAAAAACATGAAAGGTAGTTTATGAAAAATGTATGTTTAGGCCAGTTGGAGAAAATCCATGGCCTATACTCCAAGGTCTGACACTCCACCCCCACACCTGTAATGTACCCGTCCCTTTACCTAAGGAAATGCTTCTGCTGCTTCTTATCCAAGTTCACCTCACCCCATCTATAGGTCGAATGTGGGTACTGATAAAAGCTGCTCCTGATTTTCTTTCATTCCCTGCTTCCCAGATGTTTACTCAGGTTTTTTTTCATCAGCTATTTCTGAATATACTGTAATTTAGAACAATTTAGAACAAATTGAACGTGTCATACTTAAAGCTGGGCAAGGCACACAATAAATGACAGCTATAAAGATAATTTCAAGATATTTCTCCAGCTTAAAAATAAGTTTGCCTACCCAGGCAGGATTTAGATAAGCTGCCACAATCTCGCTTTAGAATAACTACTTAAAAACCTAACTAGAAAGCTGCTGCTGCTGCTCAGCCAGCCAACTATAGACTATTGTACTTGTGATAAACTAACTGGCTGTGCTTAGAAATGAAGAACCAAGTATCATCTGGGGAGAAGGAAATGAAGACATCCCTGACACAATCCTGGCATGAACCTCGTAGACACAGCTACATCTCTTCCCAAGGCATAAGTGGACTCCTCAGAAACAATCAATGTTGGGTGGGCCCAAACTCAAAAACGAACGCACTTTGCTATGAGTTATTACTCCTCTTTCATATCTTTCAGATATAACCAGTGAAACTAAATCAACAAGCATGATGCAGGTAGAAATGTTATCTATTTGAATTACAAAATTCACCCTGGAACTAACTCTAAATTCCCCAAATAAGTCAAAACAAGAAATAGACATTCTTAAAAATGTGACTATTTGTGGTAACGCAAGTCGAACCTTTAGGAATGTCATAAATTAAAGGCCATTTTTTTCATATCTGCAAAGATATTGGTTTCTATAGGTCTTATGTAGAAGTAATATATTTTTTAAAAGCAACGGTGTTAGGAGATTTTCTTCCTTCCATTACTATTAGAAAGACTACGAAAATCACAACCTAGATTGCAGACAGAACCAACGCGAACAGGCAGTTTACTAAAATGCCTGTCATAAGAAAGCCATCTAGTGTTAAAGTTTAGAAATGAAAACTGCAGACAAAAGAGGCAAAGAAAAGAAAAATTTGTGAGACTATTTTGAACTTACTGGGCAAGCCCATGAGAATCACCAAGATTTTCGTTGTTCTCTTTGTTTTTATTTTTATTTTTCAAAAAGCCATTCTTGCAAAACCAAAATCAAACTCTAAGCAAAACCCAACACGTCTACGATTTTATTTTGACCAAAACTGTTTTGGCGAGCACAATCCCGCGACCAGCGCACTTGGCGTTCCCCAAGCTCCGGTTGGAGTCATCCTGGGCTGCATTAATTTAACCGGAGCAGGTTAATGATGACAAATCTCTCCCAGAGGGCTCATGCCGAGTTGTTCCGGGCTCCTGGTCTCGAGTGATGAGCCGAAATTGATTCCCTGGGTTTGTGGCGCGCCTGAAATCAATCTGCGGGCGTTTCGGGGACTCTTATCGCGGCGCGGGCTCGCGCCCACAAAGCACCCCGGACCGACCCTGCCAGTCTCCCTCGGGTCCCGGCCCGGCCGCCGGGGAGGTCTCCTGGACGCCCACATCCCCGCGGCGGACACGACCTGCTGCCGGCCGGGAACTGGTGACTCCCGCCCGCTGCCCCGAGGCCGGACCTGCGCCACCAGCCCGGGCGCCCGCTGACCCGCTCCCCTGGGACCCCCGCGCCCGCCCCCCCGCCAGACACGCGCCTCACCTCGGAGCAGCCGACCGGGAACCCGCTACGTCCCGCGCGCGCAAGGCGGCGCCTCCTGGGGCCGCCGCCTCGCCGCCCGCCGCCGCCCCGGGCGGCCCATCGGCCCGGACCCCGCGCGCGCTCAGCTGTAGCCGCCTGCCTGCGTCTTCGGCGGCAGTGCACCGTCTGCCGCTCCGGCTCCCGCCGCCTCCGCCCGCCGCCCCGGCACCGCCCCCGCGGGCCCCGCCGCCTCCCATTGGCCACCGCCCGCACCCCGCCACTGCCCATTGGCTGCCACTCGCCCGCACCCCCGCCCTCGCCGGGCGCGCGCGCCGTCCGTCTGTCCACAGCTCGCTCGGGGTGCGCGGTTCCCAAGCGGGCTGAGGAGAAGCAGCCGAGTCCTCCTCTATCTGGTCCTCCACCCCCGGACGATCACTCCAGATCCTCGCCGGGCTACGAGCGCACAGCTCAACCGCGCCAGGACGCACAACCCGAACCTGACTGTCGCTGGCGGGGGCGGCGTGCCACCGGGCCCTGCGCCGCACCGACCCGGGACACCCCGGGGCTGCCGCGCCACTTGGCGTAGGAGCCCGCACGGGCCGCCGGCTCCGCGGACTCAGCCCGGGCTGTGCGGAACGAGTACCGATCAACAGGAGGGCGTGGGGGGTGCAGCAGGGGCCAAGGCGCACTTGTGCTGCCCACCTTCTCCGCCGACCACCTGCGGGAGGTCTCACCTGAGCAATAGTGAGCATCAGTTGACTTTCGGGATGGGTGCCAGGAGACGAAAGTCCGCGGGGAACCCGCCCAGCTGGCCCGTAGCCGACCCAGATCCGCTGCGGAGTGACTGCCTGGACGGGTTCGTAAGCTCCGCAGGTACGGGGCGACCCAACACCTCCCAGCCCGCCACGGGCTCGCTAGCCCGCTTTGCTGCGCCCAAGACCGGATTGGGGTGGCCAGCTCCTCCCCTACTGGAGGCGGAATTGTTCCCTAAGAGATATTGTTATCTCCACTTCCCTATCACAGACATTTCCGAGGACACGACCCTGACAAAGTTAAATAGAGGCGGTTCCTCCCACGTTGTATTTCTCTGTGTACACATTGTACAGTGCTTTATATGCTTTTAAAACATGGGGATGGGTGTAATAAAACAGTAATCCGATGACAAGATGACATCCCTGAGTTGTCAAAGTTTTGAGGGGCTTCCCACTGTCACTTCATATTCAGCATTTGCAAGAGCATCGTGTATCCGTTCAATAAACACGGAGATGCATGGATAAAGGACCCCACGCCTGTGTCCTTCGTGGCTGGTTTTTCCAGCTGCCCTCTGGCCTCTTGCTTTTCTGGGAAGGACACGCACACAGCGTTAAAACCAGGGTAGAAGCCATAGCTTCTGCCTCAAGATGTCTTACTGCGGGGCGGGCTGGGGGTGGGGGAGGTTAACCCTTGTAGGAGAGCTAAAAATTTTGAAATTATAAAGAAAAATATCAACTATGAAATATGAAATTTCGTTTGTCTAAAGCCAGCCCGAGCAGTCCTTCCTTTTATCTCCTCACTTTCACCTTCCCTGGAGCCCAAGACTGCCCCTCCCAGGGTCCAGGCCCTACTGCCTGACCCCGAAAGGGTTCTTCCCTCTGGGAATTTCACCATGCTCCAGGGGATCCTAAAAAGCAGACTGCAGATTAATTTTCTGTGTTTCTGCCTAGGCACATCAGCTCCTTCTAAAGTCATCCTAACAGCAGTGTACCTGTTTTCCTCTAAGAAAAATAAAAGGGACAATTCAAAAGCATAGCAGCTATCTGCCCCATTGCAAGGATTTGAGCTTGCTGGCTGACCTTGCCTGCTGCTTGTATCTATAGTATTTACTTTTGAATATAGCAAAATAAGTTTCATGTCCTTAACAAACCACAGCAAGATTCAAGCTACAGACAATGTGTGTGCACTGTGATAAATTTGAATGGCTAAATTAGGTAAGGGCTTATATTCCCACCGTCTTTCCCTGCTCTACTACCAACCCTCTTTTCAGTGTACTTCTTTTAAACTGTCTGTGGTGATACATGCCTGTAATATCACCACTCAAGGAGGCTGCAACAGGAGGGTTTCAAGTTCAAGCCCAGTCTAGGTGACTTAGTGAGACCCCATCTCTAAAAGGGCTGGGAATGTAGCTCAGTATGAAGGCTCTAGATTCAATTCCCTACCCCAAACAAGTGTAATTCTTGTATGTCAAATGAATATTCATAGTATGGGACAAATAGTCATTGATGGCATGCACTGTTGGGGGCATTATGTCAGACTCCAAAGACCCAAAGCGCTTTTGTTAATTTCAAGACAAGGAGCAGGGCTTGACAGCAGGTGCTCAGAACGTGTGCTCAGTGCCCTCAGGGAGAGCAGGAGGGCAGTGACTGTGGGGAAAGTTTGGGGCAGTCAGCAAGGTACACAGCAAGACCCAGGGACCGACTGCCACATGTCCGGGAAACTGCCACACCACTGCCAGACGCCCCTTGTCCGCTTATATAACACATGCTGCATGGTGTGTCCTTTGTGCCAAGTCCTGCTTGCTTCTTAGAGAGGACACTGTCACAAGCAGTGGAGCATACAGGCGTGCTTCACCTTTCTTTCAAGCTGGCAACCTCTCATGTTTGGATATGGTCCTGTGAGTGAAATAGCAAGTGCCAAGTCCAGAAATGGTTCAGCTGCAGCTCAGAAAGCTGGATCACAGGCCCAGGTCTTGTAGGAGTCCAGTAGTCCTGATACAGGAAAGCATGTGTTCCTTTGAGATGAAAATTAAAAGAATAATGTAAGTTCTTGAATAATATGCTAAGTACCATCGTGTAGTATAGGACCGCATACTATCCCTAGGAGTCCAAGAAGAAGCTACCTAATGAAAATTTCAGTTCTCCCCACACGCTGGAGCCTACCCTGTGCCTGTTCTGCTGTGGGGCTGAAAAGAATACTGTTTAAATAACAAGACCATCCCCAAGGTACAAGTACAAGGCAGCCAAGCTGGGATTTTACATAGGAAACAATCCTAAAAATTGTGTAAAGGCAGAGCATTTAGAATACTGAAACCAGACTTGATGAGACATGCCTGTAGTTCAAACCCAGCCTTGGCAATTTAGCAACTTAGTGAGACCCTGTCTTAAAATAAAAATTAAAAAAGGACTAGGGATATAGCTCAGTACAAAAGGCCTGAGTTCAATCCCCAAAACAAAATATCACAAAACAAAGCAAAATGCATTGAATTGAATGCTGTATAGATCTGTGCTATGGAGATCTGGAAAGGAAGTGCTGGGCAGAATGATCAAGGCTCAGTGACAAACATCCCTCAACAAGGAAAGTTTGCTTGTGTTCATAAACAAGAAATCCTGTGTGTTGGTCTTTGCTGCAATGTGGCCAATCTCAGGTACCTCCAAGAATCTTCCAAGACGGGTCGTCTATGTCCTTCTTGACGGTTCAAACTCGACCATCTCCATTCACAAGTCTGCCTTGTTGTCTGTTTCTCCCATGCAGGCTGCTGCTAAACAACTTGGGCAGACTTTACTGCCCTTAAAGATGTTTCTGCCCTCTCAACCTCACGGAGTAAAGAAGGCAGATTGGGAGAGAAGGAGGAAGGGAGGAGAAGAGCAGAAACTGGACGTGATCCAAAAGCATTTTCACCATCACCCTTACTTTGATAGCCCAAAATAATGAGAGCTTCAGAAACCTACAGACATTGGGCTCAGATGACCCTGGCTCTGAATCTGGTTTGTAACCTTATTGTATACATAACTTTAAACAAGTCACATCTCAAAATTCCATTTTTCTCATCTGAAAATATGGGGATAATGAATGCCCTAGGAGCCATAGGGAAGATGCCCAAGATTTTGTAGCACCGTCCAGCAGATCGCCAGTGTCCACTGTTTTCTCTCATCTTCAAGGAAATACTGGAATTTTATTTCCAACCATCACACAGAAACTGGCTCAATGAAACAAGAGTGGGTGGACGGATTATGCAGAGTAGTGTTAGTGCTTTTCCTTTTTTCTGCCACAGAAAATTTAGGGTTTATATATTAATCCTGCAAATCTTATTCCTACCTTGAACATACACTATTCATTAACCAGTGTTTTTGGTTTTGCTTTTAATAATCCACTAGCTAATTTGTAGCGATGAGTCCCTTGAATTCAAACACGGGCAGCTGCTGTTCTTTGCCACTAGATGGCGTCTAGCAATAGTAAGCTCCAAAACTACCGTGCGTTGTCTGCGGGGTAATGAAGCTAAAGAAATAAGTACAGAAAAAGAATGTATTCATTTATATGTATACATTATCTGTGTCTATATTCACCTCTTTCATATGATTCTTTAAATATTGGTGATGAATCCAGAGCCACCTCTAAGTTGGCAAACCACTTTCTTTCCTAATTTTAACTGTCTCTGTCACAACATTTTAAAGTTGTTAATTAAACTCCAAGCAGCCTCAAAGTGCAAGACATTTCACAGTACGTACCTGGTGACAACTCCCAAGTCTCTTAAAAAGTAACCATTTACTGGGGGGGAAATTAGAAAAAGTTGAAAGCAATATGGAGAAAATGACAAAGCAGACATACTATCCTGCCTGTCCTCATCATTCCTTCATTCACCAACTGGGGACGGGGCACCTCATGGTAAATACTGTGGGGCATGCCCTTGCTACCTCATAAAGAAAAACTACCAGAACATCAGGATGAAAATGTTTATTACATTTAAGTCATGTAAGGGGACAGATGTTTTGGGACATTTAAGAGTTACAAGGAAGAAATAGCAATACACTTAAAATGTTCTGTTAAGATCAGGTAGCTTCTGCTCTCCAGCTCCAATGTAGAAAGTTCACACTTGCTCATTCTGACATTTGGTTGTCTGGTTTTTAGCTGCACTTATAATTTCCTGGGCAGAAACTTGGGCTTTGAGGGAGGTGAGGGAGAGAGACAGGAAAAGAAAAGGACCAAAATGTGAGTGGCAATCAGGAGAAACAGGAGGAGAGTAGGCCCAGGGTTGGGCCTTTCCCTCTACCGCCTGCATGTCTCTGGCATACATCTCTTTCCTGCACCATCACACCTGTCCCAAACAGCATCAGCAGCCTCATAAGTGGTGTGT